ATTCCTCAGAAGGTTCCATATTGATTTATTATATGACTCCGCAAGTCTACTCCTAGGTACATACTTAAGGGAATTGAAAACATATGTCCACACAAAAACTTGTATACAAATGTTTATAGTAGAATTATTGATAATAGAAAAGAAGTACAAACAACCCAAATGTCTATTAACTAATGAAAAGGTAAAAGAAATACTGTATATCCATACAGTGGACTATTATTTAACAATAAAAAGGCATAAAGGGCTGATGTACGATAGTGTGGGTAAATCTAAAAAACATTATGCAAAGTAAAAGAAGCCAGTCACAAAAGACCTCATGTTATATAATTCCATTCATATGAAATGTTCAGAATAGGTAAATCCATAGAGAAAGAAAGTAGATTGCTGGTACCCAGTGGCCAAGAGTTAGGGGACAATAGGGAGCTACTGCTCAAAGGTGTAATATTTCTTTGCAGGGTGATGAAATTATTTTAAGATTGTGGTGACGGTGGCACACCTTTGTGAATACACTGAAAACTACTGAATTGTAACCACCAAGATACAGGAACAACCCAAGTATCCATCAATAAATAAATAGATTAAAAAATATTATATTATATATTATATATAACATACTATATACAATATATTTACATATAAATATATAATATTTTTATTTTAAAATATTTATATTTTTAATATTTATATATTATATATTGTATCTTTATATAATATTATATATATAAAGGAATACTATTTAGGCATAAAAACAAATAAAATTCTGTCATTTGTGACAACATAGATGAGTCTGGAAGAGATTATGCTAACATTATGCTAAGTGAAGTAAGCTAAGCACAGAAGGAAAAATACCTGTAGATCAAATATATATGATCTCACTCATATGTAGAATCTAAAAAAGTTGATCTCATAGAAGTAGAGAGTAGAATAGCGATTACCAGGGCCTAGGGGAGGTAGGTGGAAGAAGGGGATAGAGAGAGGTTGGTTAATAGGTACAAAGTTACAGTCAGATTGTAGGAATAAGTTCTGGTGTACTATTGCACAGTAGGGTGACTATAGTTAGCAATAATGTATTCTATATTTCAAAGTAGCTAAAAGAAATTATTTTGAATGTTCTCATCACAAAAATGGCAAGTGTTTGAGGTGGTAGGTATGTGAATTGCCCCAATTTGATATTAAACAATGTGTACATATATCAAAACATCAAGCTGTGCCCCATAAATAGGTACAATTTTGATGTATCAATTAAAACCAAAATACAACTTCATAAAAAGTATATAACATTGTTCAATCTGACTTTTCTAACCATATATCTGTTTTTTAAATATTCTATATCAGCCTTCTAAACACCAAAGTACCCAGCACAATATTTGGTATATAGAACAGATAAGTGATTTCTCCATTGGACAAGATAGAATACTCTATCTGAAAGAAAGCAAACCTTACAGTTGATTGTAGTTTAATCTTATACTTTAAAAAAATTTCTGACAAACAATTTGGTGATAGATTTCAAAAGTCACAAAACATCTATATCTAACCTCAAGTTTCTATTACATACACAAAAACTATATGTGTTGTTTAAAAATGCTTTTATTATAATATTTATGGAAAAAAGCATGCTACACATTCCATGTTACTATGCATGCAATTATGTAAAAAAAATGCCTATTTACATGCAAAATGTCTAGATATAAGTTGGTAAAAATGATAACAAGAGTTCTATTTTTTAAATGTCAAAATGCTTGACAATTTTTTAAAACTTTCAAGGAAGTTTCCTTACCCTTTTTTCACAATGAGAAGAAAAAAATTTTTCAATAAAAATAAGAATGAGCTTCTGCTACATAACTGGTCATAAACCAGAAGTGATTATTTATACTAGATTTATCACATGTTGAATTTATAATTTTGGAAAACGTTTTGACTCTCTCTATCCATTCAATAGACACAAAGTAAAGTAACACTTCTATCTACTCTTCTTATCACTCCTCTGCAAATTCTCCCAATCTTGATCCAGGGAGACCTCCTCTGGAGATGAGAGAGAAGTTCAGTTTAGAGTTTAGACCTTAAGCTGTGCCTGAATGACTTCAATTCCAAAAAAAAAAAAATCTTCTCTCTTAAAATACCTTAGCATCTCTCTTTGCATCTAACTTAAGCCAAACACCAACATAATCAGTCACGCTTTATGAAATGGTGGAGAATAAATTCTCATCAGAATCATTCAAAAATGGAGAACTAAATTACTTGGGTCAAATCCATTTGGCCCAATTTACCTTGCTTGAAAACAAAGACTGTTCAGGAAAAGATCTGCCACAAAATGAATTTCTACTTCAGTGAAGTCTTAATGAAAATAATGATCACTAATAGCCCTTGGAAATGTAAGATATAACCATGCTTCCCAATTTAACAGTTTATCTTAGCAGCCCCTTGTTGCTGATAGAGGCTCTATATTTTAAATATAGACCATACAAATTACTAATAAAATATGTGTATGTGGGAGATATTACTAAAACCTATCATCAGCCACTCTAAATCACCCTTACTCATACTTGACCCTATGTCCAGCTCCGTGCAAGCTGATTAAGATACAAAGAGACATTAAATGGTATCCATGTCTGTGGGAGCTACACAGTCAGAAAGATGGGACATTCACTTAAATGGGCAACCATTGATAACACTAACCTACAACAAGTGCCAAAAGAATTATAGTGAGTTCTCTTTTACTCAGGAAAAGAGCTGATCACTGTGGAGTGGTTGAGGCAGGAATATGGACTGAGTCTTCCTACAGAAAGGGCAGCATTTGGGCAGGCACCAAGGAAGAAGGGGATGTGTTAGGCCAAGAGCTTGATATAAGCAAAAGCTCCAAGGCTGGAGGACACACATTTTGCCCTAGAAAAAGAAGCAGACCAATGTAGCCAAAGATGAGGGAAGAGATTGGAACTGAGGTACCAAGGCATACAGAGGTGGGTGGAAATTCAGGCCAAGTACTGGTTGTCATTTTCTAGCAACCATAGGCAGAGAAACTGGTTATAATATTACATCAACCGAGATTTGAAGTAGTAATTCTGGAGCCCAACTGGTAGAAGTGAAACTTTATGAAAAACAAAGAAAAATAATAATAAAATAATTTGACCTCAGCTCCATATCTAGCCAATTACTTAGGGAGAAACTTCAGGTGGGATTGGGTAGGGGATAGACTGAGTTCTGCAGAAACACACATAGGCATATGAATATATAAGTGGTGGGCCTGGCCCACTTCTTTGGGGTTCTGGAAGGTTGTATAAAGTACCTCCACCAGTCTGCTAGCCATCTCATTTCTGGAAGTTGACTTGCCTTTTCTTATTTTAATATTGTGAGGGTACCAACAGTTATTATTGCTTTTAACACAACAGCAGCATGAATATGTTTCAAAGACAGATATGAGTCACTTGTGTCATTATTCCATCGTAATTTTTAAATGCAACATACAAAAATATTAATTTGTCAAACATATAATTTAGTGGGTGAATCTTACATTGCCAAAAAAAAAAAAAAAAGCCACATGTGGGGTTAATTTAAATAGCAAAGTCCTCCAGTACCTTCAATCTGAAGAGTTTACAAATAGAGACATAATTATGGGGGCTCTTTCTATCACACACACACACACACACACACACACACACACACACACACCAGAAGATATACTTCCAGGCTATTGATTATGTAAGTTCTCCTTCTACTTCAATTCTGGTTACATTATTAATAGTCTCCTTCAATTCCTTTAAACACGCAATCTGAGTATTCCAAGCAACTTATCAAAACTCTTAGACCAAAAAGAAAGTATCAGACATATGAGGGAAAATTTGTGTTTCTGCTGTCCTAATAAACTTTTAATCCCCATAACCAAAGGTCCAGGTGAAATTTATGTCTGAAGCACAGTAAAGCAAGGAAGTAAGAAAGGGTTTGTAACATGTTGAGGTCTTACAGAAGTCTGGCTTCAAAACCCAGACTGCCCACTGTCATGTTATATTGTCAAATCACCACTCTGGGAGTCTCTAAAGAGTTCTATGAATTTCATAAATCTCACAAAGCAAAATATATTTCATTTGTTTTTCTGTAAAAAACAATAACAAATACATATCGCATGTCAATTCAATACAAGGAAGGAGAAAAGAAAAAGAAAGTTAAAGAGTCACAGTATATTTGGGTTATGTCTCACACATTCAACAATAAGTTATGCAGTCTCTAGGTACTATGTACCATACCAGGGGCTTCAGGAGTCCCATGGTGGCAACACCTGAATGTCCATGCTTTTATAACACCTACTGCCTGGTAGGAGAGGCAGACTGTATTTAAAGGAGCTCCCTAGTAAATGTGAGTACAAACTGACAAACTGGCCACTGCTGCAAAGAAAAGATGTCTAATCTGATGCTTTGAAGGTATTTTTAAAAATGGGAGTCATTGGGGTAGATATTGGCAGAATCAAGTGCAATTAAAAAGAAGGATTTTGAAACAAAAAGTTATGAGTGAGTAAAATTAGAGTGCTTTAATTAATACAACTGTATAATTCTCTACGGTAGAACTGTAATGGCAATAGAAGCTATCAAGATAAAAACTTAAACTACAAAGTGCACTTAGTCAACTAATAAATACATTTACTTTATTCCGAAGAACTATCCTAGTGGCTTCTTCACTTGATGTGGGACCGCCAATGTTTAAGCATTAATTAAAATTCACCCCAAGCCACAGTGCTCTGGGGCCTCTGGGTACCTTTACAGAGAACAGAGTGTGGCTTCTGGGTGATATTTTGGTATTTTTAATTTCCTGAACTAAAATCTCTTACTTAAAAAATTAAGTTCTGAGCAGGAAGCACTCCTGCTTTTCCTTTTGCCACTGCATAAAGCAAAGCACTTAATCTCCAGCACTACCATTTAAGTCATTTCTCCCCTCCCCTCCTGCCCCCTCGCTCAGCCTGTCCCCCATCCACTGCCCCTAGGTGCTGGGGGTAGGACCGGGGGAGTACTTACTTTCTTTCCTCAAGCAGGGCGATTTCTTTTTTGACTTCATGGTATTCCTCTGCTATTTGGCAGTGCTGTTTGAACACCTGCATGGATTCTGCGGAGTCATGACAAGGTGGCAGGGGCTTCACAGACAACAGAAAGAGAGCAGAACATTTCTGTGCGTGAGAATAAATTACCAACCATTTTTCTTTGCTGATATTCTTTCTTTTTCACATTTATTTTTATTTATTGTTTGTTTGTTTCTTATTTTAAGGATATGGGGTACAATGCAGGATTAGGTACATAAGTGGTCATCATACAGATAAAGTTTGGGCCTCCCTTTGGTCCCTACATGTCCTGGTTTGAGATCAGGTACTCTGATGATATTCTTTAGAGGAAGTTTTTTTGGTTTTGTTTTTTTAACATGAGAACAGCATTGTCCATCAACATTCAACAGTTCAGTTGACTCTGTTTGACTGAACATAGAGAGGTGGACAGATAGTCCCCACGGTCATGTCCAAGTGTCATTCATGGCTGTCTCAGGCCTAAGCCAGCCTAAAACCCAGTTTCACATCAGTTACCTGCCATGTGTTGGAGTAAAAGTATGTCTGTAAGGATTCTGCGGTTCTTCTCAGAAATCTTAAACTCTGCTTTAGAGAAGGGCAGTGGTGGGGAAATATTTCAGTTGTCTGTTTCAATTACCCCTTGTTTTCTGTTCCTGTAGCCCAAAGACCTAGTCTCATCAAGTGGCGAAGAAGGGCTCTCGTCTGAGAAATGCATCCAATCTGAAGAAAGATGCTGAGCCAGAAATAATGCTTGCAAGGATTAACAGACTGTGAGAAAGGCCAGACACCTCCCTCCCCCCAAAAGCATTCCATGCTTATACCATGTAGGCCAAAGAGAGCTTGGATTCATATTTCTCCTTTTCTCCCTTCCATGAGAGAAACAAAGGCCAGCATGGCAAACCTTTCTGACTACAACATGGTAAAAATTTTACTTCTAGAAATTATTTGTAAATAACTAGTTTTCTCTGAGTTTATTATTCTAATTTCTAGTTTAGCAACACATGATTAAAAGCACTACTTTTAGGAACACTTGTTAATAACCTTAAGCAATTTTTAATCCTCTTTTTCAATTATTTATAGAAAAAGTTTATATAAATTTCAGAAGTATGTCAGTTCATTATGAAATAGGCTCTTCTGTCTAATCTTTTCTTCACAATAGTCCAAATATATAAACTACATATCTGACTAGGCCATATTCCCACTAATTTTATATTACAAAGTTGAGAATGAATGAATTTCTTACTATTTGCTCCTCTCATTATATTCTTCAAGGACATAGATTTCTTTGAGTGTCACATTTAGTGATCCTACCCAGGATGTAATAGAAATTGAGTAAAGTTTATTATCTGATTGATACCTAAGATGACCCTTCCTACTTAGCATGAAGTCTCTAAATAGAGATATTGTAAAGGAAATAAAATTCTAAACAGATTTGAACCAAATTTACCTTCGTGAGGAAGGTCTGTTGTGTTCTAATTCATGGAAAATCTAATAATAATCAAATTATGTAGCATCTTTCCCTGCTGCCCTGTGAACACATTCACAGCATAAACTCAGCCTGTATCATTACCCATTCCTATGTAGAGCTAAATTGAAAAATACCACACAGTAACACTCCAATATAACTTGCCCCGTGAGATAAAGCTGCCGCCAAAGGAATTCAGAACTTCTGATTCCTCCAGTCTGTGTCCCAGAAATCACCACCCACTCATCAATTTTCACCTGTTACTCTGGCAGATTATCAGGTATAACAGTTAGGGGAATGAAAGCAATTTATTTTGGACACCATAACCAAGCTGTTAAATCATCTGTGCCCTGTTAAAGTATTTGCCACCTGGAAGGCCCTAAGACTATGCATCCGATCATGTCCTTACAAACACCACACAGGCTATACTTAGTTCAAACAAGAGTTCAGGACACAACTTGTCACCTGTAGGTACTTGAACCATGAGTTCAGCATAGTTAAGTATGGCAGCCATAAGATTCTAGAACTCTGTGTAAAGGATTTTCAAGCTTAAGAGAATATAGATGAGAGTAGCCACGTCAAGAGAGACATGTCCTTTGCTGCTATAATTTAAAAATAAAATTGAAAATGCCATATATAATTTTCTTTTTTTTTTTTATATCCCACCCAATCCCCTTTGGCATATATAATTTTCTTAAGAATAAAGAGGCTTCTTCTCTTATCCCCTGTATCTTGCCACCCTGCAATGCTTTTTACTAAGTAGGAACATTTGTTTGTTTGTTCTTTTTATTGGCACTTTTTAATTATATGAAATTTGAAGATACTATTATATATTGGTAGTGTGATCATACTATTAAGGATACATGAGGATATAGCACATATTTTAGGATATATTTAGTGTCCTCATGTGCTCTTAGCAGAATAAAAGTGCTACCTATACATAAAAATATTTTTAAGATTTCCCACAATAAAGAAGTGTCAAGGCCCCATGCAGTGGCTCACGCCTATAATCCCAGTACTTTGGGAGGCCAAAGTGAGAGAATTGCCTGAGCCAAGAAGTTTGAGACCAGCCTCGTCTCCAACAATAGATCAAAAATTCAGCTGAGCATGGTAGTGCACGCCTGCAGTCCCAGCTACTTGGAAGGCTGAGGCAGAGGGATCACCTGAGCTCAGCAGGTTGAGGCTGCAGTAGCTGTGATTACGCTACTGTTCTCCAACCTGGGAGTCAAAGTGAAATTCTGACTCAAAAAAAAAATGCCAATTACAAAAGAACAATCCAACACTTATCACAATACCACAAGACAGGAATTGGAAGGAGCATAACACAGCTAGAGGAGGGAGGGAGGTGGGGACACATAGCATCACTAAGGGTACCTGATCCTAAACCATAAGAAATGACAGCCAGCGGGCTCGATGGCTCAGCCTGTAATTCTGTGCCTTTGGGAGGCTGAGGCGAGTGGATTGCCTGAATCCGCGGGTTCGAGACCCACCTGGACAGGCGAGACCTCATCTTTACAATAAAATAAAAAAAAATTAGCCGGGAATGGTAGCACACGCCTGTAATTCCGGCTACTCGGAAGGCTGAGGCGGAAGGATCGCCGGAGCCCAGCAGGTCAAGGCTATGGTGGCCGGGAGCAGCCACTGCACTCCAGTCTGGGCAACAGAGTGAGACTCCAACTCAGAAAAAAAAAGAAAGAAAGAAATGAGAGCCAGTGGGAGGCCCAAACTTCACCTGCACATAGACCACTCATGAACCTAATCCTGACGTGTACCCCACATCTTTAAAATAATAAAATAAAAAGAGTTTGGCAAAGCAAAAAATAAAATAAATATAAAAAAACAAGCCAAAAAAACATAGTGTTCAGAGTTTGGGGGAGTACAAAAGTTTCCAGGTTTCATTTCAGCCTCTAGCTCTGAAAGGTCTGCCTTCACCCTAGCCTCACAAATAACTCAGCACCACTTCAAGTTTTTCCAATTTGCATGAAAATGTTAGAAAGCAATATAGATTTCTCTTTTCAAGCAAGGAGAAGGTTATATTGCACAATTCACCATAACATTGTAAAATTATCTCCTTCGTTGCCAGAGGCTAGAGGAAAGGGGAAATGAGGTGTTATTGTTTAATGGGTACAGAGTTTCTGTTTTGCAAGATGAAAAAATTCTGGAGATTGGTTGCACAACAGTATGAATACACTTAACACTACTGAAATGTACACTTAGAAATGGTTACATTTTATCTTATGCATTTTTTTGCCACAGCAAAAAAAGTAATGCAAAAAATTTATTTCACTAGATCTTTCTATTGTCCCTAGACCATCTTCTAAGCAGTGCTACCAGGGTTCCCTAGAGAGGCTCACATCATCTGTATCCAAGCTTTCTCTCTTTCCCAAACCTCTCTTGAGATAACTTCAAATTTCTCATCCCTTCATAATCCTGAGTCATTCATTGCTAACCTCAAATATTGTTGGGTAAACCAAAGTGCCTTCTGGTCAGCGGAATCCACTATCCTTAGATGGCAGTTAGCAACATTGGACATATGAGGGGGTACCCCCCCAAAAAACAGGAAATTATTTATTTAAAAATTGTGTATTTATTCTCACGTTTCAACTTCAGTCAGCTTCAACGTACTCTCTATTTGACCTGATAAACCTATCAAGACACTTTTTTCTACTGTTCAAGACAGTTTTTGAACTCATCAATTTTGATGCCCTTTAGTCCTTCTGCCGTTTTTTGTATCACCTCTTCCACATCAGCAAAACATTTCCCTTTGAGGACTTTCTTCATCCCAGGAAACAAACAAACAAAAAAGTTGGTTGGGGCAGTATTGGGTGCATAAGGAAGGTGGGGCACAGGGGTCATCCCGTTTTTGGTCAAAAAATGCTGAACACGCAGCATGGTGTGGGCGGGTGCATTCATATATCACCCATCATGAAATGGGCAAATGCATTGAAAGAATCTTCAAAAAAATTCACTGAAGTCGAATGCAGCCTCTCACAACAATGCTAGCTGGTACACTGATCCTGATGGGTTCCTAGAACAGTTACCTAGCAGAGGAAGTCTATATTAAAAGGAGCTGGCACTTCAAAAAAAAATTCTGGGTTTTTGGGGGTCCCCTTTGTATACCACAGCCCAGGAAATGGATCAATAAATTTGTTTAAACACATATGGTTCTCATCCCAACAGAAACTCTAATAAATAAAGGTATTGAGATATTTAGGTTTTATGCCTAATATCAAGAGTAGAACTATTGGATAATGAGATGTGCTAATGAGATGACACAGAATACTCTCATTGCTTTATGACAATGTATGTAGTATCACAAAGTCCTCTCTGAAGATGATTCTCTCTTACCTTCTTTTAACTCCTCAAATGAGAGACAGTGCATGACCAACAGTGTTTATTGAATAAAAACTTCTGCCTGAGGAAATAGATTCCTAAAATTCAAGCAAAAGAATTAAGTTTCCAGTTTTAAAATGGAGTACCAGCAGGCTTAAGAAACGTGACATGTGAAAAAACAGTTACACATGAATTAATTGGCTGTACATGGGTTTATGTAAAACATGTTCAATTTAAAAACTGAAAAATAATTTAAAAGAATGCCTGTGAGAACAGGGCA